TCATTTTTTCAGAGAAAGCTCTGATGTGACCAGTTCCTGGTGGGTTACACAAGTCCCAGAGCTCTTCCTTTTGGCAGGCACTGTTCTGCTCCTTTTTGAACAGACTGAGGTCCCTGCTTTGTAGTGCTCCACATTCTGCAGTCCCTTAGCACCAAAATTGACTTGTCTGTGCCATGCCCTTGTACAAAGGGAGCTGGAACCTCTGTTCAGGCAACTGCCAGTCCAGGTTGTCTTTTTGCCAACAGCTTGTTGGGTGACCTGGGTGTAAGATTGGTGGATTTCTTTTTCTGTTCCTGGCAGGACATGAAGCTACAACTTGCAATCATGGCTACCAGATGCTGGAGCTTTGGTTGGCAGAAGTGGAGACAGAAGTCCTGGCTCAGAGAGGCAAAAGATACCAAATTTACCAAATTTTGAACAGTTGTCCTCAACTCAGAAGTGAGGTAGAGGTTAGAAAAGACTGTAAGGGTCAAAAGTTAGTAAATTCATTACACCAGTATCAATGTTCCCTTTTTCCCCAGAAATGGACATTTTAAATACGATATCCATAACTGGTACCAGTTCTGAGGGATGTTGAAGGGTGAAATGTCCTGTTCTACCCTCTGATAAGGGGTAAAATGATTCAGAAGAGAGGGGTTACTCCTCCCTACCTCTCTGTGTTTCAGGACACTGAGGCATGGCTGAAATCTAAACGGAGGGTGATTGACAGGTTACTGAGCCTAGAGGCAAAGCAGCAAACACCCAAAGCACGGAGCCCTGAAGCAGCGTTGCAGAGGTGGGTTCCCATCTGTCCTCTTCATTTGCTGCCTGCCCTCACCTTGACAGAGTTACAGCTGCATGAATGAGAACGGGAAACTGTCCCTGCACTTCCCCTTTCAAGTCCTCCTCTGGAATCTCACCAGGACCTTTTGCTTCTGCTGCCAGAAGCTGCTGCTTCATCCTGCTCCTTTCTGAAGCAGCCTGAGAGCTCGCTGTTAACTTGTCATGCCATTTTCATTTTGCTTCCTCCTTTTTTCCATCGGCACAATCTCCCTGTCATGTCTCCCTCAGGCTCTTAGAAGCAAACGAACATCTGACAGCAGAGGGTGGGGCAATCCTGCTGCAGCGAGGAGCAACTGAGACACCCGCTGGTAAGGGGCTGCGTGGTGCTGGGCCAGCACTGGGTGTGGGAAGGGAACGGTGCCCACAGCCATTGTCTTCTGCAGGGTACAGGGTGCCCTGGCTACAAGTGGGATCAATTAAGTCTGCATGCAGAGCTCTCAATTCCCAGCAACTGGGATTGGTCCTTGAACTGCTGAAGAAAGTAAATCAGAACGAAAAAGGAGACATCTGAATTAATCCTATTCCTCCCATCTCAAATAGGCTTGGGCAGACCACAAAAGTGAGGGAAAACAGAACTCCTGCTTCTATGAGACATGAAAACCTTCTGTTGTTTTTTCTTTGCAGGGCTAGTATATAACAGGGACATGAGAGCCCGTACGGTAAGCATTGCTCTTCTGATGTGCCCCCTGCTACTTCCGAGCCCTGAGCTTACAGAAAACTCAGCGATAGTGGAGTCCTACTCACGGAGCCCAGACCCTGCCTCCACCCAGCCGTTTACTTTCGGCTTCCCTAATTCCCACATCTCCTTTAAATGCTGCTGGTAAAAGAGCCTGCACTCGATCACTGACTGACTCAGCTTGCAGAGTCACTGGAAAATGTTACTGATTGTTTTTTTTTTTGAAAGTTCCTCTGCCCCAGGGCCTCCTGGCCACATTTTCCTGCTGTTATAACTTCTCAGGCAGCAGATGGATGGATGCTTTCTGTCAGCTTGTCAGGTCACCCATCTAAGAAGGGGAGAGAGTGGAGCAAAGTCCTTACATTTGGTATTTTGGTAGTTTTGTGCCACTTTTGAGCAAGTAGGGCCTCCTCTACCTGTGCTACTGCCAGGATGTAGAAGCCAGAGTAGTATACTGTCTCCTTTTTAGTAAAAGGACTTTTAAAGCTTTTCTCTGCTATGAGATCATTCCCATATGTGCTGTATCCCAGCAGGCAGTGTTGTTGGCAGCCCTGAAATGCAGCTGGACAGAAGGAGCCTTGGCAGAGCCAGCTACTCCTGTGTGCAGCCTGGATGCTTGTCATGTCCCAGCATGGAAGCTTCAGGGCCACAGCTACTTCTACCTTCAGAGCTGCTAGTGTAGGAGGGCTTGGGGACATCCTCTGGCCCCAGCTGCTGTCCCTGACCTTTGCCACTTTCCCTGTCTTTGCACCTGCAGCAGAGTCGAGAGTTCTTAACGGTGGAGCAGTGTGTGAAGCTCTTGCAGAAGATCCAGGACCATGTTCTTATCATCATGTGAGTGAGGCACACGCCAAACCAGCCCTTGCTGCATCCCTGGGTGGAAGGAGTGAAGGCTAGGAAGGAGTCCTCCACTACCCCTTTCTCTACAGCAGCCACCCAGAACTTGGGCCATCTGGCACAATAGCACAGTCTCATATGTGAGAAGTATTTTCCAGTTCCCCACCATTGATTGCCATGGGTTGGGAAGGCTCCTGGAGCAGGCAGAGATCCCCATCTTCCCACACCCCTGGTTCCACAATCCCATTTCACAACTTTGCAGCCCTTGGCCCTACAGCAAGGGGCCGTCCTGGCAAATACGTGACCCTCCACACCACTCCTACTTGCTTTCCTCCTGACCTGTCTCTACCCTAGGGACAGCAACCCAGACCCCAAAACCTCTTACCTGAGCAGACAGGTGAAAACTACCACAGCCGCCAGCTGGTGCTGGAGCCCCTGGCCTGACTGAACTCTCCTGCAAGCTCTCTCCTGTGGTGTCTGAGGCAAGAAGCTCTGGGGGACCTTGCCAGAGGCTTGCACAGAGTTCCACAAGCTGCTAAGCTGCCTGGGTGCCATAGCTTGTTCTGCAAGTCCTCCTCTGCATTTTTGCCATGTCCTCGGAGAGCAAGGTGTGCAGGGCTCTGCCTACTTGGCCTGTGTGGGCACTGTTAAAAGACTGTTTAGAAAACAAGAGTAAGTGCTAAGAGTTGAGAAATGAGTTGCAGTTTTGGCTTCCCTGATCTGATGTAGTCTCATAAGAGCTTATGGATTTTCATACTTGTCCAGAAATGTAGCATCAGAATGAGGCCAAGTCCTCTAGGCCATACAGAGTACATGCCTTTGAGCCTGGGATGTCACCTTGTCCCATTAACTGCAGCGCAGTAGGAGACAGCATGGTCTTAGCTCTGAAGATCTAATGCTGGTTTCTCTGGGAGGACTACCCTAGCACCTCCCTTTCCAAGCATGGCACACTCTGTTTAAATCAGCAGCATGAAGGGGCAAAAAGGACAGAGGGGAGATGTGGAAACTGTCAGGAAAAAGTTAAAAGCAGAAGACAGAATAGAGGCAGGGAATGATTACAGAGCCAGCCCTGGGAGGGCAATAATTAACCAGTCTCCACTCTGATACTACTAGGCAGTCACACAAGACTTTACACAGATAGTTTGATAGACAATAGCTGCTCGGCCAAGCGGTGCAGTGCTCCATGTGTGAGCCCGTCACCCTGCTGTTTACAAGCAGCCTGGAAAGACCAGTTGGGTGTGTCATCCTACTGTCTTGGGGACACTGCTTCTGCCCAGGGCAGCAGCAAAGACAAACAGTCACACTGTGCTGTACTGAGCCTTGCTGTTGCTTTTCAGATCACAAGATGGACTCTTAGTACCACACAAGATACCCCGCAGAAATCACTTTGTGAGAGCCCTCCAGGAGGCACTCGAGTCTACCCTGAAAGAGGTGAGAACAAACTCTATCCTTGCATCTCTACTCTGTGCCACAGACTTGGGAGCTGCAGCTGGGAAGCAGCTTATCTTGGTGGACACCCTCCATTAGGTGATTTGTCCCAAATGCACAACCCTCACACCAGAGGGAAGGCAACTTTGCCCCTGCTGCCAAAGTCCCATGTCAGTACTGTCCTTTGAACCCTGTTCTTCCCTGACCCTCCCAGCCCTGTCCTGCCTCACTTGCCCCTGCCCGTTCCCATGAGTGTCACACAACAAGCAATGTTTGCCTGAGGGAATGCTTTCCTGGTTCACATATCCTTCTGTCCTTTTCCTCCAGCACATTCAGCTAGTAGAGGTGCCTGGGAGTCATTTTGTGCACCTGAATGAGCCTGAAGTGGTGTCTGGGATCATCAGCAACTTCCTGACAGCACACAACACCAGAGCAAGGCTCTAGGAAGCCCTCACTGCTCCAGCAGTCCAGGACTGGGAGCTACAAAGCAGGCTCCGGCAGAAATGTCACCACTCCTACCTCGCATCCAACATCAGATCATGATAATCTTCCCTGTGCTTAGCTCACTGCAGGGTGAAAGCAGGTCTGCCAGGGGTTCTCTGAAGGAGAGCTGAGCAAAGAACTCAGTTTTCAAAGGGAAAAGGAATCCTCCCTCCACTTCCAGCTCTGTGAGTACAGGGATAGAGGCCCAAAGTGGCCTTTCCCATGGCTTGTTCCCAACTTGTACCCTGAAATGGAGCAGGAATACAGGCAGAGGCATCCTCTGTGCCAGCAGCAGCAACAACTTTAGCACTGCAGAGAGGTAGCTCATCTTGCCTCTTTCCTGGGGATGGTGTGGTCAGTCTGCTTCCAGGATCAGACCTGCTGAAAAACAAGGAAATTGCTCCTGCTTCTCTGCTTATTTCCATAGGTGCCTGAGCTCAGAGGGCCTCAGGATCTCTGTTCTACTGTGAGAACTCCTGCTTTTAAAAAAATCAGCTTAAGTAATAGCTCACAGAAGGACATTTTAAGGAACTCTAGAGAATGAGTCACTAATCCTCTAGCTGAAGCAACTGGGAGAACTACTAATTACGGAAAAGTTGGCAGAGATGATTTCTGTCCTAAATAAAGATTAATCTCCTAATGTTAACTCTGTCTTCTTGACTCTATAGGAGAGTGAACCTCCTTTCTCTTTTGGGATGCTCACCCAAGCAGCTCAAATGCATCTTAGGAGGGGCAGAGTTTTTACACACTCTGCTTTAGATAGAGCATATTAAGGATCTGCCTCCCAGTTAAATTGATGCAAAAAGCCAACTGAAGCAGGCAGGCCTGTCAGTATCCACATGCAATGCAAACTGTATTTACAGTGGGTTTTCTAGGAGAGTGTAAACGTGTTTTAAATCAACTCTATGGATTTACCAGCACTTCCTTCTTACATTCGTGGTCACACATGTATTGAGGCTGCAGGCAGTAAAATAAGTGTGTAAAAGCTTGGGGCTGCGTGGGTTACTTGGATGACAGTGCACTGGGGTTGACCAAGCACTAAGTCCAAGCTGCACAAATGTTACACGGGCAGTACATAAGCACTGCCCCACACCTGTATGTGCCTGCTGCCACCTGTACCTGCCTTCTGAGGGCTGGTGACAGGTTAAGTGGAAACATGCTTTGAGGAGTCTGTTTTCTCCTTCCAAAGCCAGACTGCTCCAAAGTGGCACTTGTTCTTGCAACAGGGCTGAACATCAGAAGTTCCCATGGCCCAGGCTGGGCATGGCTGTAGGGTTCCATGCACAGCTGGACCTGGCTGAGGGAGCTGCCAGGCAAGGAAACACTGAGGCAAGAGGTACCTGGCTCTGTACCAAGCCACTGATCTTTACTTGTGACAACAGGTCTGGGAACTTCCCCAGATGGGCTTTTCCTAAAGTGATTTCCCTCCTCTTCTTACCCCCAGATAAAATGTGCAAAGCAGCATCAGCTTACAAGCCATGACTTTTACTGCCACCCCAGCACACAAGAAGCTGTCCCTCACAGCAGACCGGGGGAAGAGAAAGGCACTCCTGTGTTTTGAGAACATAGCAGCAGTTTATTTACAGTTCTTCAGCCATTCCCTGCCCCTGCAGAGGCTGTGCTTCATCAATCCCAGTTCTCACCAAACTTCAGGGGGGCCTTGGGCGGCAGGGAGGTACAGATTGTCACAGGAAGTGCCTCAGCCCCTTGACCTGAGCACTCTGTAAAGTGGTGCCATAGGGCCAAAAGACAGCCAGGAGAGCAGGAGGATACCGGTGCCAGTAAAGGGAACTCCCCTCCTGTAGCAGTTGCTGGGATCTCTCATTTCATATCTGAGCGCTGAGACAACCTGAAGCTGCCTCAAAATCCTTTGGCAAATGGAGTCCATAGGCATCTCTCCCACCCTCTCCATCACAGGCACCTGAGGAATAGCTCAGCACGACTTAGTATGGCCGAAACTTGCGCTGGGCTCGCATCAGGGCGATTCTCTGCTTGTCCTCCTCAAACTTCTTCCTCAACTGGGCTATGTCTAAAACATAGAGAAAGAAAAAGAGAAGAGGTCACACAGGAGCAGCAGATCTCCCACTCCTGGGAGCTTGGCTTCCACACAGCAGGAGGGGCTCAGAGCCACAAACCCGCAGGTCCTTTAACACCCGGGCAGAGTGCCAAGCTGGAGCTCCAGCAGTGCTGCAGCTCCCTCTTGGGGAGGAAACTGGCTTTGTGCAGACTGAAGGAACTGAAGAAACTGCAAAGCCGCGACCTGCACACTCCTCCACAAAACATTCCAGCAGCCCTTGCTAGGACAGATGGTGGCAAAAAGCCTCCCAAGAGCAGGTGAGACCATCTGCACCCATCCAGCCAACTGTTCCCAGCAGTTGGACACAGCCTCTGCTGAAGGATGCTCTTTGGGTCACAGCGTGAGACAAGAGCAGGAGCAGGAGGAGACTTGGACACTCACGCTCTCTCTTGGTCTCGCGATGTTGCCAGGCATAGAAGTTGAGCAGCTCCTTGCGGGCCCTTTTCTGCTTCTCCCTCTCCAGCAGCCGCAGATTGGCAGCCTCTGTGCGGGGCAGGCCAGGCTTCCGGCCCTTGCGCGTCACCTTCACCCAGCCCTCCTTGTCTGGAACACCCTCCTCCTTGGCCGCCTTGGCTTCTTCCTGTAGAGACAGGAGTGTGAGGCAGCTCAGTGCAGACTGCCAGCCTGGCGTGCAGCTGCCCCACAGCCCTCCTTCAACATGCAAAGCTGCAGCTCCCTGTCCTGCACCCGGTGCTCCTTCACCGAGATTGAAAGGAAGGTGTGGGACCAGGGGTGCAGGCACTCAGCTCTCAGTCACAGCACTGCATGCCAGCCAGCACCCAGTTTATTTGTGGATACCTCCTTTAAGCCCTGGCTGGAAGGGTCAGGTGTTGCAGACCAAACCAGGGCCTGACTGCCCAGCAGCAACCAAGAGTAAAAAACCCCTGCCAAACAGTGTGACCCTGTGCCCTTTCCCTTCTCTCTTCTTTTCCTCTCCCCCAAAACTGCTCAGCTGGGTTCCCTCCCCAGCCTAGCCTCACCTCTGCCATCCTTTTGTCATAGTCTTGCATGAAGGTGTCCACCTCAGCCTTCAACTCCCTTGGATTCACGACAGAGGCCTCATAGTCGGCGATCCACTCTGAGACAGAGGGTACAAGTCAGCAGGAGCTGGTGTTAGAGGCAGGCCCTAGTGAGATGCCTTTGGGCAGCTCTAGAGTCAACTGCTGTGGGGAAGGACACACTCTGCTCCCACTTCTGTTCAGCCTCCCCATTGCCACAGCTCAACCAACTCGTGGCTGACGGCACAGCCAATAAATATGTGATGGAAGAGCTTGCAATTTTCCCAAGTGGAAGTGGTCTAGCCT